TAATGAAAATTACCTTGGGATGGTGAGTGTATGTGTTCCCTAACCCACTCAACCAGAATTTATAGTGCACATACCAAGTGCTAGCACTGCAAAGGACAGGGGTGGAGTGATGAAGACAGTGCCCAAGTAGCCACCTTCCAGACACATACCAGGTGCGATATGGGTATCATCTCTAATCCTAGAAGTAATTCCACAAGGAGCGTTACTTTACAGATGAACAATCAGAGACTTGGGGATGGTAAGTAACTTGCCCAAAAATCACACAGCAAGAAAGCAATGGAGCCCAGATTAAAAATCAGCTGTACTCATTCCCCATATGAAGTGCCCTTATTATAGAATTATACACCTGAAACCTATAGAATTTTATTTACCAATGTCAATGTCACCCCAATAAATTCAATAATAAAAGAAAAAAGAAAAGAAGTGCCCTGATAAGCAAAAGACCACTGCAGGAGCACATGGTAGAATTGGGCGGGGGCCCAGGAAAGCCCTGTCGAGGGAGGCAAGTAGCCCAGACTGGGGAGGAGGAGACATGTGGGCTGAGTGTTGGAGAGCAAATGGGCTGAAGAGGTCCCAAGGGAAGGGGGAAGAAAGGACCTCAGACCTTTTGAAGAACAACAAGATGTCTTAGGTAGGCAGGGAATATGCTCGGGAAGACATGGGGCCTTATTTAAAAACAATCCACTTACTGACCACCCAGACACTCACACCATCTCAGTTAACACCCCCAACAGCACTGGAACCCCGTTTTACAGACAAGCTGAAGCGATGTGCTGACAATCATACGGTGCAGCAGAGCTGGGGTTTGAACCCAGGCCCCTCGATGGCAGGTTCCATGCTTTAATCATTGCATTACATGGGAAGAGGTTACCTGTTCATGGCACATGCAAAATGCCTCTTCACTCGAAGCCTCTTCACAGGCTTTTTTTTCAAGTCTCAAAGATGCACAGTCCAACCACAGGACAGAGTGGAGAAAGGACTATCCTGGGAAGGTGCAGGCCTCTTGGCTTGTTTCCTTCCTTGCACAGTGAGCAGGTGTCCGGGGTCTCAAACCTTCAGCCCAGCTCGAATGTGCCTGGAGCTCTCTGCTAAGTTCTGGGAAGGGGCGAGGAGGAGAGTGGAGGCAGAGGAGGGACACTGAATGCCCTCACCTTGCTCTCAAAATGAGAATCAGCGGGATTAGAGAACTCAGCAGTGTTTTACCCACCACTTTATTCTGCATTCAGCTCTGGGCAGAAGACACTTGCTGCCTGGCCTCAGTGTGGGGTGACCTGAAGAGGCCTCTGGGCTCTAGGCATCACCATTTAATCAAGAACTAGATTTGTGCCTTCAGCACTGGACTCAATGCCTGGCACATAGTAGGTGCTCAGTAATGTTTGGTGAATGAATAAAAAGAAGTGTGGAGTGGGGGGAATGAATGCTTCCCATGAGCCCCTTCTGAAGCACCCCAGGCCTGGCACACTCTCAGCAAGGCTCCTCTGCACCCCCCAGCCCCAGCTCTGACCAGGGATCCAAAGATAGCCTGGTGCTCCTGGTCTTGTCAGTACCCTGGGGTTCCTTGGATGACAAGCATTTGGGACAGAGTCCAATTGGGGCCCTCAAAGATGGCTTATGAACACAGATTCTCATATTTTTCCAGGTTTCTGACCATTCAAATTCTACCTGTCCTTAGTTCAGGGTCAATCTGCTCCAGGGGGCTTTAGTTAAACTAAGCGCCTCTCTTCTGCCTGCAGAGTGGGGACCACATCACTCGTTTCCACTGTTCTGTGATCTGTGTGTGTGGCTCCCTCCCTAGCTGAAGGCCCTAAGGACCAGAGGTGAATCGTCTCCTTTTCTGATCTGTCTCCTAGCACTGGGCTGGTCAAAGAGGGCAGTGGGAACACAGCAGAAGACAGGATTTAAATGGAACATACCGAATCATCAATGGATGCTGTAACTGGGTAAAAGGCAGATGAGAAACAATATTTACATAGTCCCAAAGTATCCCCTTCCCCTACCCGCTCACACGCGTGCTCGCGTGAGNTACCGAATCATCAATGGATGCTGTAACTGGGTAAAAGGCAGATGAGAAACAATATTTACATAGTCCCAAAGTATCCCCTTTCCCTACCTGCTCACACGCGTGCTCGCGTGAGCACACACACACACACACACATATACCCCTTGTAAATTACAAAGGGTAAGTTAGTAATTTTATGGAGGAAGCTGGCAGACATCACCTTAATCAGGTGATCAAAGTTAACACCACCTGGAATGAAAGAAATAGCTACCCTGGGCCTCCTGGAATAATTTACTGAGAAGGACACAGCATCACTATTCTTACTGAAAATGCAGAGCCTGAATTGNACATCACCTTAATCAGGTGATCAAAGTTAACACCACCTGGAATGAAAGAACTAGCTACCCTGGGCCTCCTGGAATAATTTACTGAGGACACAGCATCACTATTCTTACTGAAAATGCAGAGCCTGAATTGAATGATAACAAAAACCCAAATTGGGGGACATTTTACAAAATAAAAGGTTTGTACTAATCTAAAGACACATGTCAACTAAAAGTAACTTATGATCATAGATTTGATCCTGGGCTAGAATTTATTTTTCTTTTGTTAAAAGGATATTTGAGGCAAGGAAACTTCAAAAGGAAAGTTAAAGAGGAAATCTGGCAAAATTGAAATAAGATCTGCAGATTAAATAATGGCACCGTATTAATGCTAATTTCCTGATTTGGATCATTGCACTATGGTTATGTAAGAGAAGGTAGGAAATATATGCTGAACTATTAGAGGAAAGAAGTGTATTATGTCTGTGTGTTATGTCTGCAAATTACTCGCAAATATTTCAGAGAAGTAATAATGTAAGTTTATATGTGTGTGAGAATAAGTGGATGAAGAGCATTCAGGGTTTCCTTGTATTATTTCCAAAACTTTAATGTAAGTCTGACTTCAAAATAAAATGCTTGAAAAAAAATGTGGCCAGTTTGAGCATCAGCTGGGTTAGCTGGGGGGAGCTTTCAGCCACTTGGACCAGGCACTGCAGGGACCAGTTCCCTGCCCCCCCAACTTCTCTCCCTGGAAACGTGCTGGGAATCTGAAAGGAGAACCACCCCCTCAACATGGAAATGAGAAGTGGATGCCACGGGCAGCGTGGTGAGGCCATGGTGGCTTCTGCCTGCAGCCCCTTAATGAAATGCTGCCTAGCCCTGGCTCCTGAGGTGCCTTCCCCACTCCCATCCCCAGGAGTAGCCCACCTAGCAAAACAAGGAAACATCTTCAGTTCTGAAGAGACAAGGGGCAGATTTGAAAATACTAGCAGTGGAGTGGAGACTGGGATGGGGATGGGGAGAAGGAAGGGTGGCGAGACCCACAGGACCCTATGGAGGCAGTGGGCCATAGCTCAGGGGTCCCCTCTCTCGAACAGCTCTTGGCGTTGTCTGCTCCTGACAGTCTTCAAGGCTGGGCCTGGAGAGTCCGGGCTGTGGAGGAAGAGGCGGCCAGGACCCTGCACAGGGGATGAGGCGAGGGCTCTGACACAGACTCAAATCTTGGGAAGGCAGCCCAGGCTGGTGGGAGAAACAGAGGTAAAGGACATTCTGAAACTGGGGCAAAGGTGCAATGGAGTGTCCTCTGGAGGCCATCGAGGGAACAGTGGGTGCTGGCTGAGGTGGTGGCATGCAGAGGCAGGCAGTAATGGTTGGGAGCCGCAGGCCAAGCTTTGCCTGGCTGTCTTGAACTCCCCAGCTCTCCATGCGTCCGAGGGGCCCACTGCCCCTTGCCAGCCGTCAGGTTAATTATAAAAACACCTGATGTGTTTAAAGTGCTTTGCAGCTGTTTACCCAGCAGGTGCAGGAGACGCCTCTCATCGGCCTGCAGGTGGACTGAGCTAGGCCAGGCAGGTGTGCCTCCGCGTGCTAGCTACATTTTGCAGACAGGCAGTTTGCCCTGGTGCAGGGACTTGCACAATGGCACACAGCTACGGTGGCAGAGCAAGAACCTGAACCTAAGCCTCTGATGAAGCACTAGGGAAAATATAAACTGTTGCCGAGTGTTGGATCCTATGCAGGTCTCTTTCCACTGGGCCCCACTGCTCCTCCCAGTCTAAACACCAGCCTAGCATTCAGGGCTGTCCATAAGCTTACACCCTGGGGTGCCCCGCCTCCATGCCTTTGACACGTTGTTTCTCTGCCTGGATCACCCTTCCTTCCCTGCCTTTGCCCAGCTCAAATGTCCCATTTTCTGGGAAAATTCTGGTTGAAGTCCCCCTCTCAGGGGCTGCTGCTGAGCCTCTGTGGCTGCACTGACTCCAAGGACTCTACCTGCAGCCCACACAGCCCCAGCCTGCTGTAGGATGTCGGGAACGATGCCAGAGGACTTTGCCCAGTATATAGTGAACAGTAAAAATGCTTCTGGTTTTACTGAATACCAGTGATTCCTGAATTTTTGGATTACAGATTCTTTTGAGAAGCTGATGAAAGCTATGACTCCTCTGGTCCAAGTGAGCATCCAGTTGAGAAGTGAGGTGAGACAGGTGATGAGAGAGGGCCACACTCTACCCAGATGGATGCTTTTGGAAGGGATTTTACATCATGGGGAGAGTTTTCATTTCTGATAGAGCCCCACACTGACACTTCCTCCTGGGTGGGACCCCACAGAGGCCACTGGAGTTTCTGGCCCCATGTCCCTGGCTCAAAGGTTCTTCCAAAGCTCAGCTGGGGGACTTGGGAGTTGCACCCCTAGCCAGGCCCTCCCTGCGGTGGGAGCACTTGCTGCTGCTCCTCGGGGGTAAGAAGCAAGCAGAGGCGGGAAAGTTCTGCTGGGTCAGAGCTCCCAAGTCCTCTCTCAGATTCACTGCTACTCAACTTTTTTTTCTCCACTGCAGTAAATCTCCTCTGTTATGCTCCAAGTTGATACAGTAAGCCGTGTCATTTTGAGAAGAAATACATAATGGTATATTAGAGGAATATCTCCTCATTGATGCTTAGAAAAATTTATTACAATGTAAGAAAGTCTGAATAGCATGAATTTATTATAATGATTTAACACGTCTGTACTTGAGTTAAGAATGCCCCTCCATAAATAACTGTCCCTGGAAACACGACAAATTTACACAGTTTACCATTTCCCAATGTTATATAAATCCAACAAGTTTAAATCACCTCCAGCTGGGGGGAAAGTCGAACACTGGGCTGTGAAGTTCATCCTACCTCAGCTGGCAGAGACAGGAGGCCGGGGAGCAAGCCTTCCCTTCCTCCAGCCCCTTCACCCAGCACTGGACCAACCCACCTCAGAGCCTGAAGGGCTGAAGTATGGCGAAGGGAAGGATGAGGGAAAATCACAGGTTATACCCGCAGAACAGGGATGCATGGTGGGCCTTGGGCATCCTGGCTGTTGGGTCAGGCTACTGTGGTGGTGTTAGTGAGGAACCAGCAGAGGCCGCCCAGTCGTGGACTACCGAGGGGGAGGGAGAGGCCACTGCCAACGCCCTGCCCAGATCTCAGATGGGGGCTGGTCTTCTAGCTAACCTTCTACTTTCTCACAAACTCCAATACTGCTCTTTCCTCCTGGGCTTCTGGTTCCTCCACGTACCAAGAAGCCCCCTCTCCAAGTCCCCTCTGGCTTCCCTGGACACTCACCTGCCTAGCCTACTCTCATGGACACTTGGGCTTTGCCATTCTGGCTTTCCTCTGGGCTAGTTTCCAGGGTTAGGTCAGCATTATGGGCACCCAACTTGTAAGGTAGGGATTATCACCTCCATTTTTACAAATAATTTTATAAATTATTATAGCTGAGCTTCCAGGGTATAAGTAATGCGCCTAAATGTGGAGGGTTCACAGATGGTAAAGCTGGGTCAATTCCAAGGTCAGTATGTGTTATATTCGGATACATGGCATCCTAACAGGGAAAACAGTACACAGAGCAACGCAGCAGTGTGAGGTGGGCTGGAACAGAGGCTCGAGAGTATTGTTGCAGCCAAGAGAAGAGCACCTCTAATGATGCTTGGGAACACCAGGAAACACAGAAGCAGATTCATCCGAAAGAGAGGGACATGGAAAGGTCACGCGGGCAGGAAAGAGCCCTGTGTCTTTGGGACATGGCCAGTTGTGAGGTGTAAGCAGAGCAGAGCAGAGAAGGGAGAGTTGACATGGTGCAGTTTTGGGGATAGGTACATAAAAGGGACTCAGAGGTGTGCAGAGATGGAACCACCATGCTAGCAACCACACCTAGAAGAGGCTCGGTGTCCATGTGACAGGAATGAGCTGGAGTTGACCAGGAGAACTTATTAGCATGTGGCAAACTATTTCCTTTCTTTCAGTGGACCACAGCTCCCGTTGTTTTAACAAGTACTAAGGGAAATAACATTTGGATGATGTGGGGTTCGGCTCTCATGTTCAAGCTGTCTCCACTGATCTGATGAGGGATATTCAAGGGACAATTCAATATCCAAACCACATGCGGAAAATAGCCATGAAGGTAACTTATTAACTTAAAAGCTCACACATATATAAACAGTTGCCCACATTAAAAATGCACTCTGAGGTGGGGATAAAGTGTGAGCTGGGAAGAGTGTGCCACAGCCTCCAGTTCCCGTGACTGTGGACTTCACCCGGCTCTGCTCCTTTAGGCCTATGCCCTCCTCAGAGTCTGACCAGCAAATCTTTCCTGAGCCATGGTGCTGGAAGTGGCCAAGTGAAAAGAGTGGTTCTGAAGGAGGAGAGTCTCTCCCTCCCCGTGATAGCCGGGGTGAAGTTTGGGAAAACACCAGTGTGCCTCCTGGAAGGGCGACTGCTGACAAAAGCTTTCCCTTGATTAGCCCTGGTTTTGTAAATCAAGCACTTTGGGCACTACTTAGGGAGCTTCAATGGACACTTTGTCTTTTTCCATTTTGCAAACACTGATTGGTTTTTCTCTCGACAAATGGTGGGCAGCAGGGGGTAATGTTGTAGCACTACCTGCTGCACCTCCAATATATGTCCAGTCATGTTTTGGGGAAGTGGCTGGAGGCTGTGCAAGCAAATCCCAACCAGTCACTTCACAGAAAGGAAAGGCAGATTCCTATGTGCCAGACCGTCTCTCGGTAGGTTAGTCTGCAGTTAGGTTAAGCCTCCAGGCATGCACACACACACACACACACACAAACACATACACATATATATACATATGTATATATGACACAAACTAAAATGTTAACATATACTGTTCAATGCATAATGAAAATATTAGGTTAGATATGCATTCACATCCTATTGACATCCAGGAAATGCCTACAGGATAAAGGCAAATGGTGGGGGAATGTGGCATTTGAAAATGTTGATTGATGCTCTGCTGAAAACCCATCTTTGCTCTTCCAAATCACTCATTCAGGGGAGGTAAAGAAACAAACTCCATTCTGTGGCATGTGACCCCCAAAAGCCTTTAGTTTAGATTGCACTTATGATTCTTCCAAAGGCAAACAAGCTTCTTAAAGGAATCACAGTTCTTTTCTGTCTTTCTGGAATCCTCTTACCCTGGAGGGCAGTAAGGACACTGGTGTCCAGAATGGAAGAGTGTGGTCTGGATGATCCCAGGGAGCTGGGTGTACCTAAGGTGGTCATGACACATGGAGCAAGAAAAATATGGTTCTGGAAACCTCAATTTAACTGAGAAGGTGGCCACTCATTTTTGCTGCACCAAAGAAAAATTCATTTTCCAAAAGCTTTCTGAAAGGGGATGAAACTGACTCAGTGACTTTCAAAGGGGTGAACTTTAAAGTTTATTGTAATCTGCAATGATTTTTCGACTTTTCAAGTGAATCACCACAACTAGTTGGTCCTGACCTTGTATTTACCTTGGATTGAGGATATGGTATTGGGAGGCTCCAATCTCCTCTCCTCCAAAGAACAAAAGACCCAAGTGGAGGAAGGCTGGGTAGAGGTGACAGGGCCTCAGCCTGAAGGACAATGAGATTTAGGTCTATCCAGACAGGGAAGCTGCTCAACAAGGCTTTTTGGCTGAAATCATCTAGCTTAGATAAAGAATTCAGGGAAGCCATGCAGCCTTATTAAGTGCAGGCTGCCCTGGGTGGTCTGACTTTGGCTACCAATGCTGAATGACAGAGTCTTGGTCCTACTTCAAGCCTGGGGTTGGTGAAAGGGAGAGAAAAAGCAACACCATCCAGATCAAATAGTCATTCACTAATACACATTGGGAGACACATCTTCCCCTTGCTCCAATGACTGGAAAGTATTCAACTCCCTGGCTCTGTGAGGTTATCACACAGCCCAGCAGCCTGAGAGGCCACTAGAGCCATTGTAAGCTGAAGGATGGGACTCAAGAGCTCTGCTGGACAGGAGGACACAGAGAGAGTGACCTCAAGTGTACCTCTTCCACAGGCTCTCCCGGGGTCAAATGGGGGAGGCTCTGCTTGGGGTAATGGAGCATAATCAGGCAAGTAGAGATGGCTCTTTAGAGGCATGGGACAGTAGCCCTGGGAAGAACACATGCAAGGCCTGGTCAACCCAGGGCCTTGGATTCTCATGGGAAGAGAAGGAGGGCCAGAGAAAGCCTATCAGCCTGCAGGAGCTGAGGCCACTGCCCCTCTAGTGGCATCTTCTACAGACACAACCATGGGAAGGAAGTTCACAAGGATGAATAAAATGGATACTTAGGTCAACAAAAAATACTGAGATTACTCTTCTTTATCCAGGGAAATTGGTGGACGGTACAAAAAGTGTTTCGGGCTTCTCCCTGCACTAGTGCAGGTCCCTCTCTTGTGTGATTTAATGCTGGTTTCCAAGGGTGGGGTGGGTCCCTCCCTCTAGCCCACTGAGCCCTTTTGGTTATGGGGTGAGCAGCTGCCAGGCTGATGACCACTGAGCCTAACTCACACTTGGCCTTCAGTGTTGCTTGTGATGACGGGGCACCAAATCCAACTTCAGAATTAAATGACTATGTTTAGATGGACCTAGGTGATGAGAATAGGGTGTAGAGGTAAAAAGGTCTGTCTTTCTGAAATTGCTCATTTTACAAGGGGCTACTTTTCAAGTGGAGGGATCTTTCAGTAGATAAGTTTTCCTTGTGTACAAAAGAGAGCCAACCTTTTCCAGCAAAATACTGAGAAGGAAACATTCTTGAAATGAGGCTGAATATGCAATGGCCTCTGCCATGCAGAAAGTGTCCATGTTGATTTTCTCATCTCTGCCTGGCATAGAAAAGATACAGCCCTCCACCCCTGTCCCCCCTTAATATGTTATCTGATTGGTCTGATCAAAAACACCCTGGGTTGTCAGGATGATTTCTATATTCAATACATAACAAAATGCTAGTGAGATAGGGTCATGTGAAAGGAGAGACACAATTACTTGCAGTTAAAAATTTAAAATCCTAGATCAGTATATTAATAAACCCACAAAGTTCTGATGGAAATTCTGCATCAAGTGCTTTGGTGTCAAATGAAAAAGATATCTTCCAGAATCTGATTCTCCTCCAGGTCTTCAGGGCTCCTGCCTGCCCCCATCTTCTTCCGGGCTGATTTTAGAGAACTGAGTCGGCAAGTACTGTGACTCCATGTCCCGGCCTCTCTGGAGAGATGAGGCTGAGGTTTACAAGCAGACTTTGGGCTCAGAGATTGAACCAAATCCAACAGAGATGTCTCATACCTGTAACACACACAACCCAGACAGAGAATGATCAGACCAGCAGAACATTGGAATCCAAGGAGACCATAGCGATGGGCACAGGGCAGGAATGGGATCACAGATCACATCATGCGCACAAGGGCCTCCTGGGGTAGCTTTAGGAAAGGTAAATGCCAGAAGGCCCCTGCTGTCCCCCCATAAGCTCTTCTCTTCTGCTCACTTCTAACATTCATTTTTGTTAATCTTTGACATTTTTATTAAAGTTATTGGGATAACATTGGTTAATAACAGTATATAAATTTCAGGTGTACAACTTTATAATAAACAACTGTAAACATTTTGTGCTCACCACCGGAAGTCTAGTCTCCTTCCACCATCATGCATCTGGCTCCCTTTCCCCACCCCTCCCCCTCTGGTGATCACCATTCTGTTGTCTATATCTATGAGTTGTTTTTTGTTGGTGTGTTGCTTTTTGTTTTATATCCTACATGAGTGAAACCATATGGTTCTTTTCCTTTTCCTTCTGACTTATTTCACTTAACATAATACTCTCAAGATCCATCCATGTTGTTGCAAATGACAACATGTTGTCTTTTTTATGGCTGAGTAGTATTCCATTGTATATATGTACGACACCTTCTTTAGCCAACCATCTGTGGAAGGACACTTTATAATGCCTTGGCTATTATAAATAATGTTGTAATGAATATAGGGGCGCACATATCTTCATGAATAAGTACTTTCAAAATTTTTGGGTAGATACCCAGAAGAGGGATTGCTGGGTCACATGGTAGCTCTGTTCTTAATTTTCTGAGGAACCTCCATACTGTTTTTCATAGTGGCTGCATCAGTTTGCAATCCCACCAACAATGTACAAGAGTTACCTTTACTCCACATCCTCTGCAACACTTGTTACTTCTTGTCTTATTGTTAACAGCCATTCTAACAGATGTGACCTGGTATCTTACTGTGGTTTTGATTTGCATTTCCCTTATAGCTAGTGATGTTGAGTATTTTTTCATATATCTGTATGTCTGCCTTGGAAAAGTGTCTATTCAGGTCCTCTGCCCATTTTTTAATTGGATTGTTTGTTTGTTGTTGTTGTTGTTGTTGAGCTGTATAAGTTCTTTATATAATTTTGGATATTAGCCCCTTTATCAGATGTATTGTTTGCAAATATCTTCTCCCATTAGGTTGGCTGCTTCTGTTTTGTTGATGGTTTCTTTTCCTGTGTAGAAGCTTTTTAGTTTGATACAGTCCCACTCATTTATTTTTGCTTTTACTTCCCCTGCCTTTGGGGCTTGGATAACTATTCTTCATCCTACTAGATATCAACTGAAATATCACTGCTTCAGAAAGGCCTTCCTTAAACCCATTATCTAAATTAGATTGCCCCAGTTATATTTCTTCTCATAATAATCTGCTCCTTTACTTTATAGCATTTATCACAATTTGTAATTATTTATTTATATGGATTTATTTGTTTAATATCTTCCTTTCTCGTTACACTGGAAGCAATATGAGAGCAGAAACCACTGTATCCTTAATGTCAAGTACTCAATAAATAATGAATGAAACTACCTTGTCACAATTATTTTCTTAAAATTTTTAAACTGTTCAAATAATATAAGAATATGTCTTCATTATAAAAATTGAAATACACAGAAATATACAAAGAAAAATGAAAGTCCTCTCAACACTCTATTCTCCAACCAAATGCAAACCCCATTATCCTTCCCAGACAGCACTGTGTATGCTTCTGAATCTTTTTTTGAATAATTACATGCATGCATGTTCATATACAAATAGACACACGTGTATTTAAAACTCAAACTGAGCTATGCTTAGGTACTGATCTATGATCTGCTTTTTCACTTAATAGAATGTGCTGAAGGTTGTTCCACAATCGTGTATATAGATCTACCTAATTCCTGTAAACTGCAGCAGGGTTCTGTTTTATGGCTGTGCCATTGCTCTAATTTAAAAGAATCCCCATAGCTTTTATTATCTTACCCTAGCTAAATTTTGTATTTAGCATTCCTATTCTGATATATTAAGGGGGAAAAAAAATCAGTATTTGGCAATTAGTGTTGATTTAAGGACAATTTGCTTGAAAACATTTCCTTTACAGGATGCTTTTCTTGAATTCCTTTCTACTACATTCACACAGATAATGTCAACATGACTCGTCAATGAGCAGAAATAAAATGGGGAGACACAGTGACGGTTTGAAGAAATCTCAGGTAGAACAGCTCAAATTAGGTTGGTTTTTACCGCACTGTGAACCATCCAGGCACACGAAGATCTAGCCTCTACCTTCCTTTCCAAGATACTGAATTCAGGTATCTGTCAGCAACCCCCACATGATCATTGCTTTTTTCTTACATTCATGCCAAGCAGTCCCCACAGTTCATGAGCAAGGTGTGGAGGGCTCAGACATCACTCTGGCATGGGGATTGGAGAAGTTAGACTTCCGATAAGTTCTCTTCTGCCTTATTAGTTCTACAAAGCCAGTTAAACTGAAACTCTGTGGCTCAAAAGTTTGACTCCTATCTCTATACCAGTTTTGTGGTTCCAACCTCCAGATCTATGAAGTCAATATCATTTATTGTGTTGGGGCTTTAAAAAGTGGACCCAGTTGATGAAGCTGTTACTCTGATAAATTATTATCATTTAAACAAAGCTTTAACTAGACACTTTCAGAAAAGTAGAACAACCCAATGGGCTAAAGTCACATGTACACATATTTTCAATAAGTGACCATCCTATTTCATCTATGTTAAATGGCATGGCTTTTCAGACACCAGTAAGAAATGGGTAGTAACACAGTAAATACTATGAGGGAATTTGGGAATCTTCATTTCTGAAGATTGAATTGTTATTCAATAATATCTTAGTCATCCTTATAGTACTAATCATAACTCTACTATGGTATTTCTGGTAATAGCTCCAAATTAATATTCTTCATAAAAACTTTATATCCAAGATAGTGGGAAGAGCTCAGTCTCTGAAGCCAGATGCTATATTTCAGTTCTGGTTCTACCAATTTCTAACTATGTGATCTTGGGCAAGTTGCTTAATGTTTCCAAGCTTCAGCTGTTTAATCTGTAAAATGGGGGGCAGCTTTCTCTCAGACAAAAGTGCTGGCAGAGGTCTTTGTTCTTTGCCACAGTGCCAAGAGTCACCGTATCTGAGTCTCCATCAAACTGGCTCACACTGTTCACCCTGCCCTGGTGACTCCTTGAGACTCCTCCTCACCCAATTTGCAGTGGCTTTTCCATATGAATGTCCTGTCCTACCTCTAAGGAGAGGCTTCAGACTCTCCTAAAACTCAAACAAGCAGCAGCTGGCCTCAGAGTGCCCCATACCTTTCAATAAGAGGCCCCAGGCACAGTACTAGCAGCAGCTTGCTGTGGTTCACAGCTTGGCCTCTCCTGGCACCTCCAAGCCCAACTCAAGTAGCAGTTATCTGCAAATTGTTCTGTAGCTTGTGCTGGATGGCTCCAGGCAGAGGGAGGTTGAGCCACTGGACCCTACAGGACACCTACTACACAGGGAGTAAAGCTGACTTTGCACCTCCCAGGAGGCCCCAGAGCCAGTGCACCTGGTGGTCAGCTTCAGACCACACCAGATTACAACCCTACCACATCCACAAGTGACACACTCAAGGGGCAGACTGTGAGCACCAAAGCCCCACTGAAGCAAGTCCTGCTCCTCAGGGGCATCTCCTGCACAGCAGCTCTTCCGCTGTAGTCAAAGCTGGTCTGCACAGCTGACTGGCCTGGGGGTCAACCCCTCCCAGTGACACCAGCAGCAATCAAAGCTAAACTACAACAGAACCATGCACACAGCCCACACAGGGGAGCACTTAGAATGTCCAGCTCAGGTGACCGGGGAGGTTGAGCCACTGGACCCTACAGGACACCTACTACACAAGGCCACTCTACCAATTCCAGGACAAGCAGCTCTACCTAAAACATAGAACAAAACAGGGAAGTAGCCAAAATGTAGAGACAAAGAAACATGTCACAAATGAAAGAACAGAAGAAATCTCCAGAAAAAGAACTAAATGAAATGGAAGCAAGCAAACTACCAGATACAGAGTTCAAAACAATGGTTATAAGGATGCTCAAGAAACTTAGTGAGAATGTCAAGAAACTTAGTGAGAACATCAAAGACATAAAAAAGGACCAGTCAGAAATGAAGGATACAATAACTGAAATAAAGACTAATTTACAGGGAATCAACAGTAGAATAGAGGGCGCTGAGAAGCAAACCAGCAATTTGGAATATGAGGAAGCAAAAACCGCCCAATCAGAACAGCAAAAAGAAAAACGAATCAAAAAAATATGAAGATAGGGTAGGGAGCCTCTGGGACAACCTCAAGTGTACCAACAGTTGCATCAAGGGGGTGCTAGAAGGGGAAAAGAGGGAGCAAGAAATTGAAAACCTATTTGAAAAAATAATGACAGAAAACTTCCTCTACCTGGTGAAAGGAATAGACATATGAGTCCAGGAAGCACAGAGGGTCCCAAACAAGAGGAACCCAAAGAAGCCCACAGCAAGACACATCATAATTGAAATGCAAAAGGTTAAAGACAAAGAGAGAATCTTAAAAGCAGCAGGAGAAAAACAGTTAGTTACTTACAAGGCAGCACCCATATGACTGTCAGCTGATTTCTCAACAGAAACTTTGTAGGCCAGAAGGGAGTGGCAAGAAATATTCAAGGTGATGAAAAGCAAGGATCTACAACCAAGATTACTGTACCCAGCAAAGCTATCATTTAGAATTGAAGGTCAGATAAAGAGCTTCTCTGACAAGAAAAAGCTAAAGGAGTTCATCACCACCAAACCAGTGTAACATGAAATGTTAAAGGGTCAAGAAGAAGAAAGAAGAAAGAAGAAAGAAAAGAAAGAAGAAAGAAGAAAGAAGAAAGAAGAAGGAGAAGGNAAGGGTCAAGAAGAAGAAAGAAGAAAGAAGAAAGAAAAGAAAGAAGAAAGAAGAAGAAGAAGGAGAAGAA